TAGTTGAAATATAGCCAGTGATGCATGACGTCCACTGTAGTGGACAGGTGGTTAATCATGATTTCCTGCAAACATAAAATCAATACTTTGATCATTTATGAATTATATGATTCCTTAGTTGTTACTTGATGTCACCACATTTTTTATACCTGCAGGGGACGCTTTCCATAAAAGGATTGGCAAGATATAGATGGGTGACTTGGTCCATGTGGCTTTCTGTCGTCCATCTTGGTTTAGAGACATGTATCATGCACTTACACTGACTTGGCACTGAGTAGCAGTGTATGGGATGATGCAATAGGGTCCTATGTAGTGGCTGATGGTGCAACTATGCAAAAAAAACAATGCATATAGAAGAAAACACCTTTTGAATAGCTGTCCACTGTAGTGACCTCTAAGCATGAAAGGGTTAAAGAATGTCAAAAATGTGAAAAAAAGTGACATAGTATGTCGAAATATGTAAGAAAAACGACATAGAAATTATCTGAAAAAAACACATATTAGTTACTATATTATGTTTTTTTTTCTTTTTTTTTAAAACCACAAATGTCGAAATCTTCAGAAAAAATGAAATAGCAGAATATGTTGAAAAACAACAAATCATGGAATGTCGAATTATGAAAAACATACAATTTTTTTTCTCCTGAAAATTCAACATACTTTCATTTTTTCAGATATTTTCAACATATTATACTATGTATTTTTTCAGATACTTTATACATATACGATGTCGTTGTTTTTCATAATTCAACATACTATACTTTATAGTTTTTTCCATAATTCGACAATCATCAAAATAAAATACAAACACTCAATTTTTTTGTATTTGAACAAAATATTTTCTTTATTCTGCAAGAGCACTGAATATGGTGGAGCTCCACGGATAAACGTACATGAGTTCAGCTCATAAACAAATGGAGAATCTACAACCAACAAACTATTGCAACCAATACGAGAAAGTAAAGTGAACCGTGATTGGCCAAAACTGTTTCAAAGAGAAAATACCAAGAGATTGCGTAGCAGTTATGGAAGAGGGTAACACTGAGAAAGAGACCAATAACAGGTAATCAGCAGCGGGAGAATTATCACCACGTCTGTTTGTGGTAAAATGTGAAAATCAGAGTTTAGTCATTTTGCTAATTGGTTTTGAAAAATAGGACACTGTCTCAAGATTTGAAATGTTAGTTGGTGATCATCTTTAAGATTAAAGTCATCAGGAAATCTTTTAACAAGGACAAATATATTCAAGGCTAAATGTTCTCAAACATTATTGTCTCCTGATTTGCCAACATTAGACAACCATTTCTATAAAGCTACCAGACATCGGAATTAAAATAACATTTTTTATTTGCTATCTTGGGTCTCTCTCCCAGTATTACCATTTTATAGCATTTTACAACTGACACAATAAAAACGGGAACTTGCTTCAGCTGTAAGCAGTGATGTTAAATTAGTTTTATCAAATTCAGATCTGAATACACCATAAACAGTCAGATAACAGTTGTTTTTCAAAGACATCTTTTTTTTACAATTTTCTTTTAATACACAACAAAAACAACAGTCAAGAGTACCAAATATGCATGCCGGATCTGTACGTATGTCAAAAAGGGGTAAAAGAGGTTTTGGGGATGGGAAGGTGGGGGTGTCATACACACTTTTAAAAAAATCTTTTTTTCTTTTTTTAAAGTTGTAGTTTTTTTAAAAGTTCTTTATTTTCATATATATAAGAAGCTGTTACTCCTCGAAGCTGTGCTGGGTACTGTGATCAGATAAGCAGTGGTAAGAACAACACGACTCCTTGCAGAGAATCAAACATATTCAAACCTGGCTGCAAATAAAACTTTGCAGAACTGCTTTAGGGCGCGTAGTAGTATTGGTAGTAATAACTGTGGTAGAGAAACAACAGACAGTTGCTATTTTAACAGTCCTGGGACGGAAGTGAGTATTAACACTCACAATAAAAATAAAGGTAACATTAGACTTATTGTACCTTTTTGTTACAGAGACCGCACCTTTGTTTGAATGTACCTTTATATTCTGAGAAGTGAACCTAAGCCTATTTCCTGGAGTTATTTGAGTTAGAGTTGAGTTTTCCAAAGTGAAAATCCAACTAAACAGTCTGTAAAAGTAAACTTGACAAAACAGATATTTTGGTTTGTCCAAAAACGTTCCTAAACTGCTTGTCTCCCTGCCTTAGTACTACTACGAGCGAACCCCTGCCCATTCAGAGACACCTGCGGGGTCGATGCACCTGAGGCAAATCATGGCTCCTCTATCACGAACCCCTGGTTGACAGAAAAGGGAATATTGCATGTTGTGTGGAGTGAGTTACAAAGGAAAATAGTCCTGCAGAAACCTCAGATCTGTAAGTGTTAAATGTATCATTATACAAAACGGACAAATCAGGTGTGTGAAAAACATATTTTGTTCCTGTTGGCCTTTCGTATCTCCTGTAGCAATTAAACTTTTTATGGTAGTATCAAAATCAAGAATATTAGGGCACCGCACCCCCACAAATAGAATCAAATTCTGTGGGAAACACTGGCATTACAACAAAACTAAATAGATAGACAGATAGATTTCTGCAGGACATTTTCAACCCAGAAATAGAAAATATTCAGATGGCAAACCAAGCTAAACTCCAGCTATGGTCATCATGTGCAAAAATATGAAGTAGCATGAGTGACAAAGCTGTGACTTTTGGTTGTTTTTTTTCTTCTAAATCCTTAACAGAAGTCTGTTTATACCAACGGCACATAAACGGAAGAGTGCAGATCAAGATCAATCTGATAGATTTTTACATTGGGACATCAAGGACTCTAAAGATGGATCCTTCCTGACGTGTCACAAAAAGTACCTGTTTAAACTCTTTTTAACACAAAATGAACAGATCAACCAACAATCCTAGCTAGCTGTACGGGACACTCATTCACACAACATGGTTGTATCTTCTGAGTTGTGATAATATCAAGGCAATGGAGATAAAAACTTCACTGAAACATCCATTTCCAATGATGGACAACTGAGTGGTTTAACAGGAACTGAAATCTTTGGTCTTAATGTTTTTGGGGGGGGGGGGAGAAAACAGTCAAAGAACAGCAACTACAACTCAAAACGACCCTTAAAACTGTATTATCTTTCAAGCTTTACATATATGATGGATACGACATCTCCGTGTAAATGTGACTCCTGATGCAAATGCAGATATCACAGGTAAATATTAACACAAGTCTCTTGTAGATGATAAGGTGTGCAATTTCAGACAAGCCCTCTGTGAAGGAAAAGATCCGAACATATCTCTGAGAAGTTTCAAAAAAGCGCCTCTTTCCCTCCTAAATTAGCTCTACGTTTGCCTGTAACTAATACTGTACATCTGTCATAAAACTCTAAAAACCTTGGCCCTGCTCACCATAAAACAAAAGGGAACTCTTCGTTATTTTTTTCTTTAATAAATGTATATTTCCATATAAAGACATTCAACAGTGAGCAATGCAATATAGTTCAAGTAATAAAGTTAGGGTTTTGTGTTCAACCCGAAACAAAGTCTGTTAATAACAAAAAAACCTTGAGACTGTGTGGTGATGGGGGGGAAAGGAGAGACGATTACATCCTTTTTGGTGATGATGCTGTGTCTAAGCTAAGGTAAGCAACGAGGGACAAGTCTCCTGAAGTGCGGACACTACAAAAACCAAAGTCGTGGGGAACTAGCTTAATCGACAGAGTGATTTAAGTATCAATGCTGAAAAAACCCTGATTTGTTTATTGATTTTTTTTTAAATAGCTGGCTTTGTTGTGTGGTCGTTTCTACGGTAAACTTGTAAAACCTGAGGGTAAATGACCAGAAACGTTGTGAAGGAGACGTTAGAAGTCTGCCAAATCAAACAGGCATGCACTTTCGATAGCACCTCTAGCGTTATGATCATCTTCTTGTGAGCATGATTTCTGGTGCTTCGAAAATACCAAGCAAAAAAAGAAAAAAGCTTTGGACCCAGACTGATCCTGTTTGTACATTCAAGATTATATCAACAATCCCCGCCTTGCTGTCCCCCTTTAGTCCAACAGGAAGAACAAAGCCCGCAATCACTGGTCGACAGCAACAGATACAACACGCCAAAAGAGGCTGGGTCCCAATTCGGAGGCAGATACAACTGAAATGGGACACAGCCGACGCCTCCAACATCCTTTATGCTACGACTGTCCAACAGTGTTGACACCGTCTTTGTTCTTCCAAACCTGCTTTAGCTTTCTACTTGGATGGTAGAACGGGGCCTCTGGGGCCGGCATCAATTAAACCAAATTTGGCCTGTTCTCAAAATCAAAAGTTACTTCAATTCAGTTCTAGCCTGTTTACACTGCTTTCACAAAGTGAAGCTTATTTTAATATAACTTTGTTTTTCCATTTCTATTTTAGGAACTTGCAAGTTATTTCCATTCCAACATCTGTCTCTTTAGTAATGGAAATAAGGAACATTTGGAAAGATAATACCAAAATAATTGGAATGCTCCATTTTCCATATTTAAACTTCAATTTCGCCAAAATATTTCAGTTTCTTTAAAAAGACAAACCGATGTTGCCAATTGTGCTTCTGTTAATGCATGGATTAGAGGAAGTAGTGATGGAATGTAATGGCTAACCATTCTTTAAAACACAAGATAATTCTCTGGAATACTTGTGTAATCCTAGGGGACTAAAACTAACTGATTTTTTACGCCAAATGTTCAACATTTTCTAAAAAGGCATTGCATTATTTTGTAGGTCTACATGACAGGACAGTAGTCTGAGAACAGGCCAAATCGGATTAATCCTGCCGGCTTTAGGGACACCCAGATCGGGAGAGACCGCTGACTATCAATGGCCTTCAGGTCCACAAACCTCCCCCAACTCATCTACCTAATGTGAGCAGACATTATCAAGGGTGTGGGGGGGTGTGGGGGTAGATAACGGTGATACCGTCATGGGTTACTACTGTTGAGGAGGACATAGAGACGGGGGTGTAGATAAACATGTGGTGGGTACAACCAAGGTTGTATCATTCACTCACAATGACTCTTCTGCAGATACTCAAACAATGGCCCTCTTCCTACAACCTGATACATTCCTGCAGACGCACCTGTGTGTGTAGTCCATACACTCCGCTTATCATACTGTGAAAAAGACTGCAAACAACCAGAGGGGAGGGTGCTCTGTCTGACTTTGTAACCAGCGTCTTTTGTAAGATTTCTTTGCTAGACCCAAACAAAAACGTTATCCTGTGAAAAAAGAAAACGGGGTCGATGTATCAGCGCCCTTACTCGCTAGCTTTTCGTTCTATGAATAGCTGCAGATTATCAGACTGTCCGGGGACCCAGCGCTGACCCTGGTTCAAAAGATGCCTCTCCAAAACAAAAACAGCCAATTGGTGGGCATTGTTTTCGTTCCAACAGCCAATCAGTAACAGCAAATTTCAAGGAAAAATAGAATGCAACTGGGTTGTGTTTTTCTCTTCAGTTTTTGAAGATATTTATTTATTGCGTGATGCTTTTTAGTCTTTGACAGAAAATTCTTCCACTGGTTATAAAGTCAAGCATCGGCAATAGGTTCTGAGTTTAAAAAACAAAACTCTCACAAAATTAAAAAAAGAGGAAACGGAGAAGTCAGACAGAATTTCCCTCCAAAAGCTTCACTGTGCACTTTGATTATCTCTCGGACCCTAGTGTTCCGCTCTGCTGGACTTCATAAACACAACGCTAGATTGCACGTTCTTTCAAGTTTTCAGTTTTTTTCTTCTAAAGCCTGCGCCTTTAGCTCGAGACATCGCCTCCGTCTACCTGCTCTCTGTCTTGCAGACAAAGTTTTTTTATCAAAGCTTATTATTTCTGAAGGTTTTTAACAAAAACACAAACAGTCCCAGTTTTTTAAACCCACAGTCGTTAGCATATATTCATGTAAGTCTCTTTCACTCTCTTTTTAAACCACACATAAAATTGGTTTCAGGTTCACTGGTCCTTCATGCTTTCAAAAGGATGATTTTGGTGAAACGGACCATATGTAACCTTTTATTTTCTGGTTTAAGTGTAGTAAGATTTGTGACCGCAGCACTCAAGCCGTGAGTTGGTAGAAAATAATGAATTTGAAAAAACTATTACACTGAGTTACGCATATTTTCTCTATTAATTATTGACTTTTGAGTCTATAAAATGTCAGTAAATTGCTTAAAAACAGTCAAAAAGCAGTAAATAACTATACTATTCGAACAGGTCCAGAATGCTGAGGTCACACATGGGACTTGTTTAAGAGCTTCATTCTTGACCATCTGTATTTACAGAAGGTCATGGCTTTCTCTGTTTACGTACCATTTGGTTTTCCAAAAAAAGGCTATTTGGTGCACAAGCACGTGGCCCAAAACTCGGTTTTTATGTGTGGTCTCAAACACACCATTCGTTTGCTTTTCTTCATTCCTTTCACCATTCACAAAAAGAAAAGAAAAAACTTAAAGAAACACACACTAGCTGACTCTTTGCCCTCCCCCCTCCCTCTCCACACCAACTTTGGTCTCTGGTTCTGATCTGTGACATTGCCATTTACACATTGGCAAGAAATAACGGAAAAAATCAACTATGTTCCAGCAAAGCAGAAATAATACAAAAGAACCCCTCTACAGTTAGTATGAAAGCAAGCCTTTTGTCCTTCTTTAAGACTTCTAAACTATGTTTTGTCACGTATGCCCCACCCTTCCCCTCCCCCTAAACCCTTCAGCAGCAGTCTACATGGAGGAACACTTCATAAAACCAAGTGTCCGTTGTCTCGTTATGCTACATTATATTTGCTTTTTTCGTACGGAGAGGGACAGGACAGACACTTGACATCGTCTCCTCTTGCATTTACCACAAACAAAGCTATGAGAAACAAAAGGAAACGACTCCAGAAACAAGCAAAAAGATTGCAATATAATCATCTGAGGTGCAAAATAAAACAAAAAGAATGGGAGAAACAAAATAAAAAGAGGTTTTGGGAATGTTTTGTTGTCGCCTTTGTCGTCGTTCGCGTAGTTTCAGGTAAAAAGTCTGAGCTGGAGTGTAGGTAGCAGCGGGGTCAAACTGAAACTCTGAAGTCTCCTACTCCGTTTCCTTCCTTCTTTCCTTCCTTCAGTCGCTTATTTATTTGTTTTTCACATTCACAAACAGTTAAAACTTCCTTGTGCAAATCAAGCAGTCTTTAGAAAGAATGCCCTCCGAAATAGTTCTTGTAAAAATATATAACTCCAAAGTGGCTGACGTGTGTGTTGCAGCAAGTGTTTAATTTGTTTCTATCTTTACGGGGTCTGGTGTTGGGGTTGCTTTGTATTTCAACCAATCCCCCTCCCTCGTTCCTTCCTTCACTCACTCTCCCCGTTCTCCCTTCCCCAGGAGGGGGTTGGTTTATTGTCTATGTGGGGGTTGTGGCCAGGTGGGTGGGGTTCATCTGCGTCCGGAGGGCATCTGTGCGTAGACGGGGTATGCGAGGCGCACGTTGAGCGAGTCGTTGTGCTGCACCAGCGAGGTCTGGTGGTAGTGGAGCACCAGGTCCTTCAGGCTGCTGTACAGGTTGTAGGGCTCCGCAAAGCCGAAGCCCCGCGGCGTGCTGTAGATGACACAGTGCTTCACCTCACCTTCCACACTGAGGACAGAGAAGAAGGGTTCAATCACGCTGGTCAGGAAGTAGTTAGCTAGAACGTCCTTCGTACATTCCCCAGAAAAATGTCATATTTGATTTACATAAAATACTTTATCCAATCCTTTGCATTTGATTGGACGGCTTACAAGTAGGCGGGCTCAGAATGTGGCTCCACCCATGATGGATGTTGTGGTATTTTTGGTTAGTAGAGGCTTACATAAGCACACCCAATATGTTTATGTATTATTGAATAGGTGCAAACATTTTAAAGTTAACGTTATTTTTCATTTTATCTCAACTTTAATTAATTCAGGAGGGGTTTTGTGTAGTTAAAACGTAAGTCTGTCAAACTAATGTGGTTACATTTAAAAAAGCTGTTATTTTGATATATTTGTATTTTATATTTATTTTATATATATAATAAAAAACCATCTGCATAAAATTGCTTGAAAGAAAATGCCAAAAGAGACAGACCAAAAGATTAAAGTTTGTTAACAAATTACATATAAAATGGCGATTGTTTATTTGGTAGTCTAATGATAGATTGATTTTAATTGACTGTTAGTGTAAATGTATTTTATTCACTGAACAATGAAGCATCTCTTTTTTCTGTTATATATCAACTGTAAAAAAGTTAACTGTTATTAATGGCCGGCTAACCAAACATCTACGCAGGAAAACAGTAATTCATACACATCTATTGCACTTCTATACTCAAAATGTATATAAGAGTGGAAATAGTTTGGACATTGCACATGAATGAAGGCACGTGTACCCACTTTACAGAGCAGGCGTAGCAGCCCTTTTTGCTGCTCTCCCGGATGAGGAAGGCTCCGTCCGGCTTCCCGATGAGCAGATCCTCTGACTGAGTCCTGTTCAGGTCCCCGACGAACCAGCTCTTCTCATCGTAGTGAGGCAAGTTCTCGTCCTCCTCGGTCACAAAGTAGCCTCTGCAGCCGCACAGGAAGAGATCAACGGTAAACACGGGGCACTTCACCACAGAGAAATAATGTCATATTTGGGTACAAACAGGTATAGATTATATTAGCCATTGCTCTGCCCACAGACATATGTACAGTAACCGTGTTAACCACTTTTTGGCAGAGGAAAGGCAGTAAAAGTTGAGACTCACTCGTCAGTGTTTTCGTTCTTGATTCCAAGCCAGTCGTTAATTTGTTTCTGACGAACTCCTTTGTGATTGAGCCAGCTACAGAGAGAGAAGAGAGAGAGAGGGGGAACCATTACCACAACAACAAGGATCACTTTTAAACCCTACATCTTTTACAACATTGTTTATCAGGCAGTGAACACAAATTCAATTGGCAAGTTTCTGACAGTTAAAAGAAGAATAAAGCCAGCATTGGTGAAATAAAGCAGGACATCTCTTGGCTTTCAGTAACAGGAAGTAACAAGTTCCTAATTGCGCTGCGTATCAGTCACAGAACATCAGGGTTTTAGACTGAGGGGATATTAAACTGGTGTCTACCTTTTAAGTATTTAACATAATTAACGGCTTGATTTGTATGACATTTCAGGGATTTCTGTGGATAAACCGAAAACCTAAATCCCAAGTTTTGGTTAGCATTTATGTTCATGAAAAAACTGAAATGAAACACTTATATATATATATATATATATATATATAGTATATTTTCTATATTTCACTCCGTCTGCCTGCTTTACTTATAATAACAATGTGTTGTGCACTTACACAAGATACTGGTCCCTGATCTTGCGGAGCTGTATGAGGTCGGGCTTCAGGCTGTTCATCTTCTTGTCCGTCTCCCGGTTGTCCATGGCTTGTGTCTTCAGGTCCTGCTCCAGCCGCACCTTGCTGTCGTGGATCTCCCCGAGCCGGGACTTGAGCTTCTCGTAGTTCATCATGATCCTCTCGATCTCCTTGTCGTTGCCCTCGCGGCGGAAGCGCTCGATGTAGTCCTTGCTGTAGCGCTCCTGCGTTTGGCACTGCTCCTCGAAGATCTTGATGGTCTCGTTGAAGGCTTCGATGGCCGTTCGCTTCATCTGGATCTCCTGATGGATGGAGGGAAGGAGGTAAGTTAGAGGACATGACAGGAAATAGGAGTTTATTTTCTGTAAAAACCCAAAAAGTTAATTTATAATTCAAAAACCTGCTTACCTGTGACATCTTGGTGTATTCTTCGTACAGTCTGTCATACTCTTTGCTCTTCTCTTGGTACTGATTGTGGTATTCCTGCAGCTTCTTCCCCACAGCGTCAATATTATCCTCCTTTACCAGCTGGTCCTGAGGGATAGAACAACAAATAGTAAGCGTTAGAATCAAGAAAAGGCAAAAGGCAGCATACATAAGTGTTAGACATTCAAGAATGCAGAGCTATTTGTACTTAGGGACAAAGTCCATGTGCATGTGTTGCTCCCTTCACCCCTGATTCTGCTTAGCGAGGGTGACTCCTGAGCAGGCTCGTTAATTAACCACCCACAATGCCCTGGGTGTATGGCAACGCGGTGTGCACGCTCTGAGACATTTCACCGCTCTGAGTAATGACTCGCCTGCAGAACGAGTGGAACGAGGGGAGGAAGGGAATAAATGCGACCGCGGCCCTTTGACACTGCAGATGTGTGCAATTATTTAGGGAGCGTGGCACGGGGGCCGGCAAACGGGGCAATACTTCAGTGAGCGGAGGTTTTGCTGCTGCTACAGTTTGGAGTGGAAACACCCAACTCCAGACACAGGGTACAGGGAAGTTAGGTGATTGAAAAGGTGTTTTAAAATTAGTAGTAACTACTAGAAAGTGAGATTTCTGCTTCCAATTTGAAAACTTTAAAAATGACTCCAATATGAGCTGCTAGACAAGATGTTAAACAAATGACAGTTTAATCAAGGATTCTAACACACCCAAACTACCCTTAAATAATAATAATAACAGTTTACCAGGTTTGTACAGCTTGAAAAGACACCTTAAACAAAAATATCAAGGACCCTTTAATAGCACATAAAAAGTTGCAGTTGCGAAAAATAAAATGTCTATGTATAAAGTCATGACGGATACACAATGTGTGGTACATATTTGATGTGTGCTGACCTGCTGGAACCGGGAGATGGGGTACATGAGTTTGACGTCCAGCTTGGTGTTGTACTGAGCCAGGGACTCGTGTCTGTAGTGAATGATGAGATCCACCACTGAGCTGAACGTCAGCGGGTCGGAGAAGCCGTATTTCCCGTCCCGGTGGTAGATCTTTATCAGCTTGTTGTTGCCCCCCTTCCTAAACCAGACAGAACAAAACATTTAGAGTGAAGAATGCATCAAATGACTGATGATTCCCTCCAATATTCACACTCAAACAACCCCTAGTTCAGGCTCAGTGGGCAATTTGCTCCAATTTACCAGGATGCTGCATAGGCTAAAATGCTTCTCAACACATGATTTCCCTCAATCTGTAGTTAACTAGAGGGATGTCTGCATTAAAGTGGAGCAGAATAATTCATCTACCACTCGTTCCAGCCTCCGTTAATCCCCCTGTGGTTTTAAACAAAGTGCATTCATGACTGGTACAAACTGCACAAAAACACCCACCAACATCTGGCCTATGTGTGTAAATGGAAAGGTTGCAGTCGCCATTCATTCCCGGGACAATTCATTTATTTGCCCACTGTCATTGGGAAATGAATCTATTGCCTATTTTAGTGGGCTTTCATGTTTAAAAATAGCTGCAGATATGACCTATTTTTGGGGGGAACAAAGGGTCTTACCTCAGTGTGAGCGTGTAATCTCCCTGCATCTTTGTGGAAGCGTCCCGCACCAGGAAAGTCCCATCAGGCATGTCTCTGAGCTTATCATTCACTTCCTCCCTGAAGACATATGAACAAAAATACATAGAGAGTGAGTTGGTTGAGTGATCCGTGTAAAGATGGTGTTCATTTGAAAGGTCTGGCTTCAATTATCAGTGGCAGGCGATGGGGATTTCCCCCCCGCAGCCACACGCCTCAAACTGAACAGTCTGTCAATTAAATGATGTCGGGAGTGACTGGAAGGACAGGTCCCAGCCAACAGTGTCTCTCTGCTCTGTGTGTGTGTGTGTGTGTGTGTGTGTGTGTGTGTGTGTGTGTGTGTGTGTGTGTGTGTGTGTGTGTAAAAAGGGTGGCAGACTGGCTGTCTGCGCTGTAGGTGGAGTTATGTGTGGATTGTGGTTGAGAGCTAACCTGCACTTATGAAGGTAAGACAGTGACAATAGCCTGAGACTCAGCAGCTTCATGATTGTAACTTAAGCAAACAGAACATTTCTGAAAAGGATTTCTGTTCTCAGGCTCAACTCTTATGAAACAGGTATATTTGATGGCAACAATCTGGGAATTTAACTATATACTGAATACTACATAAACCTGAGGAGCTCTTGATTTGAGCTCTCTGCCTAAATAGATTTTGATTGTGTGTATTTTTCATTGTTTCTGGCCAAGCTACTGCTATAAATAATGAACTGTCTTTAACTGTATTGGGGTAATAAACTCACCAATTCCTGTCCATATCTATAAGCTAGTTTAATAAATATGAATGCTTATATATTAAGATAGTTGTGGGTGGGACCACATTTCCTACCTGAATCACACACCAAATGTACATGCTTTCCCACATAAAACCGAAAGTAGAGCAATTTGATACCAGATTTGTATGAATTGAATGATACTTGTTTTTTGATGAGGATCTGTAACAATAGGCCAAGCAGATGTACTGAATATCTTAAACACAGTATGTTGAGGGTTACCTGGATATGTCTCCCCAGTACCACTCGGCTTCCTGCAGCGAGCCTCCTGCTCCTACATCCTTGGTGCCATTGGTGCTGCCCCCAACCCCCCCCACTGAGGAGGGCTGCTGTGGCTTTGCTGGTTTTGGAGGAAGAGCTGGAGGAGAAGAAGAGAGGACATGTTATTATTGAGAAAGACTGTATGTAGAACACATAACAGCCACCTGCAGATGGAGCATTGTTACATTACTCACATATTTCATTACTTTAGAGCTTCGCTACACAAACACCAGAAATGTCTAGAGATCTTTCTGCACACCTGTTATATGCAAATCACAAAACAAGAGCTGTTTTATATCCACACATAAATGCAGCAGCGGGGCAGTTGGTGACCCCATTGTTATTAATCACAAAGGCAAACAGTGGCATGACAAATATAGCCCATACATCATCACAGTAATTATTGTGTCATAAACCACTTGCAACACACACTCAGGCAAGGTGAAAGTTATGGGCTGCATGGAGGAGACTTTAAGGAAGAAAGTGTGTAACAACTGCCAGGACTCTTGTTTTCGCACAATTTCTCCTGCCTTTGAACTTGTCCTCCCACTGAGCTGCAGGAGGGAAGGAAGCCCCCTGTTCATATGCTGTGGTTGATTATTATGTAAGACATCTGACAGAAACTTGACTTTTAGTTTCTGCTTTGCACCCTGCACTCTTTCCATGACTGATGCCCTTCATTTTATAAAACTTTCAACAGTTAGGGTTGATTCCTTATCAAATAAATCATCAAATAAATAAATGTGCAACAGAGTGAAGCAATTTGTGAAATACTGTGAAGAATATTGCGTATTGCGTCAGTTATTTGACAGCTGCCTGTGTTTAGACATTTGGGGATTTTAGCCTTTGCAGACCATGCACAAAAAACAACATAACACACTACAGGAAAGGGAAAACCCCAACAAGCATAATGGGGCCCTCAAAATGAAATGCCTTCCGTTTGTCTTTTATGTGGATTGGAGCTTTGTTACAGACTGCACCTTTAAGTTTGGGCAATGATAACAAAGCCGGAGCAGCGTTCAAATAGTCTGAAGGTGAATTCAAACTGACTGAATGCTAACAAACTGAAAACTGGCTGCAAAGTTCTTAGCCAAACAGTGTGACCCACAATGCCAAAACACACACCCCACGGGTTTTCAGAAGTCTCCAGGCACAGACTGTATGGGTTCAAGGAACAGCAGTGTTATTACTGGACCACCACACACACACACACTTTTAAAAAGGGAAAGTCCGCTGATGAAAGCACCCTCAAATGCCACCGAAGGACAGGGGAATTCCCACAATGCACAGAGGCAGAGCTGAATAAGGCCGGACAAATATGATTTCAGTGTATGTGCAGGCAGCACGGTCATTACTCACTGTCCCGATAAGTTCCCATCGCTAGCGTGCCCCCCCAGACTCTACTGTTTACTGTGACATGGGGTAAGAATCATGTTGTCTTTGAATGAACAAATAAAATACATTATTCCGGAAATGTATTTAAATCAAAAGCTGTTTAAAATAATGTTGGCCACTTGGGGGCAGTGGAACAAACAATCTGACAGGTGATACATTATTATCATGTCGAAAACAAAACAAAAACAGCTGCAACTTCCACGTGTTTCTGAGAACAGACATACATTATTTATGCCAATAAAGTTTTATAGAGGCATGATTGTATCCACTTGATAAATGTTAAGTAAAACATTTACTTTAAAAAAAAAAACTATCTCTGGTTTGTTTGCATTAATTATCCAATATAAACTAATTTAATTTGTCTGAGATCTGAGGCAAATTAAAAAAAGCTTCCATAGCCACTAGGGGGCTACAAAACTACCAAATGTGTAGTTGGTCCCCTTTGTCACAAAGGACATTTTCTGGAGTTGTTTGACATATTTTGATTTCCATAAAGGAGCTTTTTAGCTCACCTTCCCCTTTGTTAATGGCCATTCTACACCTGTGTTCGTACAGCAAAGTGTTGCAGAGCAGAAGAACAGCCAGAGACCTTTTGCAAACTTCATGCTGAGGAGATATCATCAAAGCAGGTTGGAGGGCTAATGAAACAATAATAGGTAGAAACGCACACAGCAGATGAGCTTCAGTTCAGAGGAATGTGTAGCACAGCTGCTGCTCGGCTTCCTCTCCTGTTCTCTTTGTTCTTTTCCTACCCTGCTGTCCTTCTCACTTTTTCCTCTCTCACTTTGGGACTCCTCACTCCTCACTCCTTCCCTCCCTCCTCTTCACATAACCACGGCAGTCAGTCAGTTACAGAAGCCAAAGCTGTCATTCTGCAGCTGCACTGTTCCCCTCCGTCAGCATTTAATGGACACACACACACACACACACACACACACACACACACACACACACACACACACACACACACACACACACACACACACACACACACACACACACACACACACACACACACACACACACACACACACACACACACACACAGCGATATCACTTGTCACCACACATGCAGGGAGACTCCACAGCTCTCCTGAACAATGACTGTCAGCACGGACTGACACACACGCATGATAAACACTCACACTTGACAAAAACACAAAGCATCAATGCTGCCCGCGGTCATCCTTTGGGGATGCTATACAAAAATAATGCAAGTGCACACAGCTGATCAGTGAGCACAGTAACAAAGGTATTTTCTGCAACAAGAGTTTACAGTCTAAGAAATGACTGCACAATCTAAAAAACTCAAAAGCACGTGTCATGAATAAAGCCTGCTCCTCAATCTGTTCTGTACCCAAAACTTCACAACTGGGCAGAGGAGGGAGCTGCAGGTGGTGTGACTGTGTGTGTGAGCCTCTACAGTGTGGGGGTGTGTTTCAGCGTCACGGCTGTGAAAGCACGCACATGCACCCGACACACAGGGACATGCTTAAGAGCTTAAGACTTCAATCTGAGTCCAGATGTCTGCAACAGTAGACATGTATTTTGAATATAAATTGTAAGAAAATTGTCATAATTTCCCCAGCTTTTAATAATTTGTGAGATTAACGGACGAAAATTTTAAAATATATTATATTGACAATGTATAAAACCGTTAAATGCTCACATTTTAGGAGGTGGAATCACATCATTTTTGGCATCTGTGCTTCATAGGTAGTTGTGTGGGTAAGCTGACAGTTGCAGGGCTCATTCCCAAATAGGGAAATTCAGTACAAAAGCCCACAAAGCAACAGAGTAAGAATAGAGACAAACACAGACACTCAATTTAGGTCATGTGCTGCAAGAAGAATCAAAGAAGAGGGGGCAGCAAACACATTAAAAAAGGAAAACATATTTATTTGTCAACAAAGAAAAAAAGTGTTAAACTAGTAGAAAATGCTTATAATTGTACAGACTGGATCAGGAAGTGAAGTCTGAGACTTAAAGGAAAGACATGGTGATGCACTGAGAGAAGAAACAAAGAAGAAATCAGGCACCAAAAGACTAAATCAGCCTCTTACCGTCCTCAACCATCGTACTCTCCGTTAGCTGCATGCTGTCACCCGTCTCTCAGCTGTTTCTCTCCTCCCTTCTTCTCTCTCTCTCTCTAACTCACTCTCTCTATTGCTCTCTCCTCCTCCTCTACCTCCTCCTCCTCCACCGCCACCTCCTCCTCCTGCTCTCTGCTCAGTCAGACTGAAGAAAAGAGCAGAGCGAGGCTGATCCTAAAAGACAGGCGACACGCTAACTAATCCCTGCAAGGAGGCCCGCCCCCTCCGCCAATCAGGAGGCGGCATGGGGGGCGTGCCCTCACCAGGGGAAGAAAGGAAGAAAGGAGGGGAGGTGGAGTTATCCGAGGGTAATATCAATTCCTTCTGGGACACCACACACTCATACACACAGCAGAATCGAGCCCTAAATCAACAGGTTGTCTCCTATTGAACAGAGACTGACGGATGAATGTGCCTTTAAGAGACTCACGTATTCACCGTTAATGTGAGGCACTGTTATGCTGTAAAACACAGTAAGGTCTGTAAAATACAAAACATTCAATTTTTGATATATATTTCGTATTTCAGTCTATAGTTGGAAAACTGTGAAAAATGCTCATCAAAGTCCAAGATGCAGTCTTCCAATGTCTGACCAACCGTCGGAACATGTAAAGATATTCTACTTGTAATAATATTAGGACAAAGAAAAGCTGCAAATCCTCCAGTTTAAGAAGCCACAACCACAACATTGGGGTGAACAGTTCCACATCTGCCCCTGAGAATTCCACAATTTGACTCAAGACAAAAGAAACCTTTCAACAATGAGCAGGCTTTGGATTTGAATAGGAACATGATGATGATCCTGATTAAAGGCTCTGATAACCCATATGGACCTATATTACATCTCATTAGGGCCACGGGTCAATCCCATCCTACAGTTGAATACACTCTGAATGTAAAGAGGCTTTGACATTTCCACTCTGAATGCCCTTTATATCAACAGCAGCAGGTCTATACTGCTGCTTATCCAGATGTTATCAAAGAACAAAGCAAATATATTTAGCCTTTTGCAAATCAAAGATGTTCTGCTTTGTTGCCCAGGTAGCCTTTTCTGATTATGTTATGCACTTGACTGCTTGATACAAGTGAAACAAATATGTTTCCCCTCTGCAGGTGAGCACACTCATGGAGAAAAATCTATTATAATCTGGTCCTCATTACAGACAAATGCAGGGCTGGTTGATCACAATTTGAACAATTACATGTTTTCCAAGATATATCACAATATGGCAAATTGGGGAAAATGATATCAACACATATTTAAATTGATGCTCAATCAAAAATAAATGATTTGCAAAACTCATTTCACTTTGCGCCAAATCCATAATATATACCATTTATTTTTCAATTCAACATAATATGATCATACCATCATTGACAAAGAACCCTATCTAGCAATTCATTGTATGCTAGCACTAAGAAGAGGCAGTTTTGGTGCATATATGATAATAAAGTAAAGTGTTGCATCATAATGCCTTGCATCATCACATCTCACAAAATCAAATGCAGACATTATGTAAAATGTATAAAGAGCCATATTAGGGCAAATGTCAAAACTGTGCAAGTTGCTTTTCATGCTGTGCGGATGTTTATAGGAACGACCTGGAAGGAGGCACATGGAATTTGCTTTAAATTGGCCAAGACACGCAAACAAAACGGTGGTATGGTCCTTTAACTATAACATCCCATCCATTCTCCATTGAATGATGAGACTCAGTGCACCACACATCCATTAATACACTAAGTTGCCAGTGGAAACGCAGGCTTTGCCGTTCCCCTAGGGGGGCAGTGGCACTCCACCTGTGCTAATCATCCTGCACACAAAGGCAACACACACACACACACACACACACACACACACACACACACACACACACACACACACACACACACACACACACACACACACACACACAGATACAACTGACACTGAGGCTTTCACGTTTCAATTCCAGTGTAATAAATATTCTAATGAACGTCTGTGGGACGCTAGTCTTCCATTCTCCCCTACTTCTCTTAACCCTTTATCATCCCTTCTTCCTAATCTGTCCCACTTCCTCCTCCTCTTTCAGCCTCCCCGTCACCCACTCTTTGCCTCCTTCTCCCGTAACCGTAGCTCTTCAGAATGCATGTCAGTTAAGTCAAGACAAAGACACAGTTTGCATATGTTGAAGCGCAGACAAGCTGATGCTTGGTTATATATGTGGGCAACAAAAAGATGAAGACAGGATGAGCTCATTCAGGAAAATGGGGTGACACACAAAAAGGCAGATTATGAAACACTGCAGGTATGAGTAACAGCAAAAGTCCATCTGCATTTTCAATTCATTCTACTTTTCCACAAATGCAAAATACAGCTTATTTGTGTACATGCGTCTTTGCTGACTGCATTGTTCACATCATGAAATGAGCACAAATGCTCCGCTAAGCTTGGACAACATTAGCAAATTGTCAACAGTCTTTTCCAGCCACGACAATGACCCCATGTATGCGTGAATGAATGGCTCCAGGCACTATATAAGGCAAGGTCCAGCAGCAGCAGCCGTTAAGTATGTGAATCACCAGCAAAGGGCAAGTGTGTTGCGTTAACATGCCCGGACGTATTGGGTTGAGGAGCACAGTCCACTCACTCTACTGTAGCTCCAACACAATGATCGTCAAATGGAGATAGAGTGACCAAGACAAAGAATTGGTCTTTTGTTCAGCCAAGAGGAAAAAGGAGGAGTTGACTTTTAATGTGCAGAAAGTGGAGATATTGCACCACTTCACTTCAACATACCTCAAATTGAGGAATCAACATTTGCAACAGGATGCAATAACCTACTAAAAAAGTATCTGCATCAGCATTAAGCTGAGTGATGATATTTTCCCACATTTACGGACAAACACTTCACATAAAGTGAAACTACATTGTATATGTAGTTTAAATTCTCTGCAATCTGATGGTTGTAAATCGTTGATAAAGCATCTGAACCTAAGGGGGTTTTCTTTTTTTGTTGATATAGACATGATACTGCACTTTATGGTGGCTGCATAATATACCGTACATCTCAATAGAATCATGGGGTAAGTGAAAGGAGGAGGGAGAAAAAAGGGGACAGAGCTACCGGGCAAAGTGCATTCAACAGCGCCTCCTGGAAACAACGTCCCACATCTGCGCCATGATCCATTCAGCGCACCGAGGGGAGAAGAGAGGGGGGCTGGGAGTCAAATGACACTGGCAAAATTTCCGAGGAATGAATGAATGGAGGAATGAATGAAACGCATTCAATTGCGGGGTGACAGTTTGCTAGAAAGGGGCACAGCGACCAATAAGTGCGAGTCAGTGAGCGATGTTATGGTTATGAAACGCTCGGGACGTTTTATTCCCAGTTGTGTTCATTCTCCCGGTCCCTGTCTGCTCTCCGTGTCCCATCCCCCTTCCCTTTAGGGACCGGGTAGAGCTAATTTCAGGACGATCCGGATAGAGCCTTTTCATAAATACTTTGATTGTGGAGTAGGCCTAATATCGGATTTAAATTGCACAACTTAACTGCCGGGTTAAGAAGAGCAAATTCGGGTACAATGAACTGAGATGCTATTTTTTGCATTTTAGTCCAAAATGATTGGCAGTGCGATGTCTGCCATCTTAACGATTCATTTATCGTGTCATTTTATATGCAGATAGTTTGAAGAGTAGTTAGGCTGCCAATGCACAGAATACATCGGATTGTTGTCTCCGAATGAGTCTTAGTGGAGGTTTGAATAGCTGCAGCTAATGTTACTGTGTGACAGCAGGAATAAGCAGACATGTATAATGGAGCATTTCTCCTGTAACCGGTGCCTATTAGAGCAGGACAGATGGAGTAAATTGTGTTCAAAGCGTTGTCATTGGTACCGGAAAATGCCTTTTAAGTCTAATTTAAAGACAAAAGTGTCGCAAATGTGTTTCTTTCAAGCTCAAGTTACCTGCTTACTTACTAGAACAAAAAGGGAATACGCTAGGCTACTGTGGCAAAATTGAGGCACTGCCAAAAAGTTATGTACAAAATGTATCACTTTAAAAGGAGCAGACGTACGTAAAATTCCTCAGGAAAATTGACCCAAATGTCGTTAAGTACTGTTAGAGCAGCATCAGGATGTGCGCTTTAAAAACTTTTCACCAATTTGAACAGGCACCAAACCAAACACAGCACCTCCTCTACTCTCATACAAGCCCCAGCCCAACATCCATGTCCGATATTAGCGTCTGTTGCCCGGCGCAGGCCTGCTTACCTGGCGGTTGGTCCATTTCCAGATAAAATATCAGCTCTGTGGAGTAGGGCATCATCACGTCCCTCCAGTCTCCTTCCTCATCGGCTTTTTCCGACGTCCAGACTGTATTATACATTGCTTTCGTGTGGCTTAACCTGACAATCTTTCTCCACAAAAAGGAAAAAAAGCGTATAAAATGCGAACTGGTGACAAAAACAAACTGACGTATTAATAAAAACACTTGATTAGATAGGCTAATCTATCTACTTGAAAGTCTTCTATCTGAATTCCAGCTTCAGACTTGAATAAATAGACGAACTGTGTACAGCAAGCACCGGGCTGTGACTGCTCCCTCCGACATAATAATAGTGTTATTAACTTGGGGCTCTTCATGAATGCCCTGTATACGTATATGTGTATATAAAAGCGTCCTTTAAACGGTGGGAAAGTAGATGCCAGCTCTACATTTCAGTCCCCTCTCCTTCTTCTCCGCTGGTACCGTCGGTTTACTAGCTTCATTTTAAGAAGAGCACTGACAAGAGGAGGCTGGCAGAGGCTGACAACGGCTGGGACAAACCACTGCGCCACGGTTTATAGGGGGGGGGGTGTAATTTATCTTACTGTAACACACACAAACTTAATATAAATAGATCCTTAACGCAATACATATTAGCAGAATCCAAATTAACATTACTTTGCGTCTTAAATTATGCGTACATTATAACACTCACCCATTCTGCCTTTGTTATATTAAAACTATGTCCACCTTTGTTGGCGCCTTTTCTTTTTTTATTCCAGGCCTAACGCTGATCAAGCCTCTGTGCGCAAGCTCAGACGGCTGCATTTGAAAGCCAATAGGGAAATTACTTCAGCCTCTGAAGAGCAACTTACAAATTCAGTGGTTTTCCAGTGAGATCCTCACCTTCCCACTGACTGGCTGTATGTCACTTCAAACTACTGACTACTGCAACCACTTTGGAATGTTACATAACTACATGAATAAGGAGCAACCAAACATTATTAAAGGACCTTGGCAGTGTCTGTGCAAGTTATAATAGCCCATGTATTACAAATTATATATTCTTGTGTTTTCCAAAAGCAAACCTATTTCTTTTACATGTATAAATGTGCTTTCTTTCACCATAAAACTAAGCCAACAATAAAGGTATACTTGCTAAGTATATTGTATAATGTGTGTGCCTGATCTTCTTCCTTTTCACCATAGAGCTGAAAACTATTAAACACACAACAATGAGCCACACCGTTGCATTGGGTGACATGTATTACATTACCATGAATCAGTTCCGCAAACATCCTCTTGCTGCACTTCTCACTGGAGCACCAAATGTGGATTTATTGGACACTGAAAATAGTCCCCAACCAATGCACTGACAGTACCCAGCTGTTTTAGGAAATTACTGAGAAAATAAACCAAACATGTACTCAAATTTCAAAAGGAACCAATGGGATAATTGGCAATGACCTAATGTGTTTTAAATTATCATTGTATGGAAATGCAGTGAAGACTTTCCATTTGAAGCAGCATTTGTATGAAAAGTGACAATGGAAAACACAAGCCAAGCAAGTTTCAAGTTGATTTCCATAAAATATTGCAATTACTTCAAACAATGGCAGACTAAAAGGTAGGGAAAACACATTCAAAAAAACCCAATCACTACAATGTTGTTTAGGAAAATGGTCAGTAGCAATGTAGGGAGAAGACATACAATGAGACAGAGACTGAGGTTATAGATTGTGTCCTAGAGACTGGGATGTTCCTCAAGTTTACACACCCACGGCTACCCTTGTGTGACTTGCGTGACACTAAACCCTTGCCTGCTCAATGCAAGGTAATGACAAATGTATTAAACTATCATATGATAAAAAATTAACCAAAACAGTGATGGAAAATATACCCTCTTTGATCATAGGATCCCTTTTCGCGGCAGTTGTTGAGGAGGTTTGTTTAGTGGGCTTGTTTAACTCCAGTGGAGGAAAAGGTGCCATTTACAACGTCAACCAAGCTGCCTACAGTCAGGTAAGTACAGTTACAGTAAATGATATGGGAGCTTAAACATAAGCTTAGGGATGCTAGAGAGGTACAACCATGTATTAGGAAGCCTATAATACAGGGATTACTGCAAACACACAACACACACCTGCTAAAATGGATATGATGGATTGTGGGATCACTTCTGTTGCAGGACTTATAGGTATGGCTTGTTCTTTTTAGATCATATTTAAATATATATTTTAAATGTAATTTTTAGTATTAACAATAGATTAAATGAAGCTGTTAAATGGGAAGGAAGTCCCCGATAAACAACTGTAAAAGTCGTCAAAACCACAGTTAAGATGGTAAAATGGCTACTTGTCAAACGATGGCGTTGTAGATGTGGTGTCTCGACTTCAACTTCATTCTCTTCACAAGTTGCTGATCTGAATGTAAACAATGATTAGTACATGTAAAAGGAAGGCTTGGCCTAAATCCATTGTAGATATCTGATTGCCCTTTGCCCCCAGAGGCTTATCAAACCTTGACCCAGACCTTGGATCAAAGTCAGATTGGGTCCAAATCATAATCACTCTGATTCGCCACAGTGACGCGTCCTAAAACCCGGAATTCCCACTTATATTTTTATTTTTGCATGAGCAGTCCCTGGGGGGGGGTTCTGTGTGTACACACAATTGTAATGACAGTCTGATTAACCCTCCTGTTGTGTTTCCCAAAAAAATTCTGTGCATGAAAAATTGTATTTTATTTAATCTATGAACCTATTATTCCCTATCTATGCTTCTATTAATGTGCCAAGTGGAGCAGTTTTAGGATAAAAAAAAAAAGAACAATGGCCCCAACATAATCAGATGCCCCCAAAGCACACAGTGGAGACACAGACGAGCCCAGACCCCCAGTCTTCCACATGGTAATCTCCTGTTAACAGCGGAATATCAATGCAATATCTTTAGATGGGGGGCGACTGCCACCAGTAATTACAGCTGCTCTGTCTACATATACTGTCTGCCGGGTGTCCTACTTCAGGGAGCAATAATAATTGAAAGGTCTGCTCCCCAATCTGCCATCCATCCAATATACTCTCCTCCTTTTACCACCATCACCTCCGTTAACCCATCCACCCGTCTGTCCGTCAAAAGTTGTCTGTCTCCTCCTTTCTGTCCATCACAAAAAAAAGAGGACAGAGATTCCAGTTGCCCCCCCCCCCCAAAGGGGGCAGGGAGGGGTGTGTGTGCATGAATGTCAATTCAATCTATTTTAACGCGGCACACACATCTACAGTGTAGGCTACGTGTGTGAGTGTGTGTGTGTGTGTGTGTGTGTGTGTGTGTGTGTGTGTGTGTGTGTGTGTGTGTGTGTGTGTGTGTGTGTGTGTGTGTGTGTGTGTGTGTGTGGTTGTTTCACAGATGGCTCGTGCCGGACACACAGCCTAAAGCTCGTCTCTGTCAAGTGTGTCAAAGAGGTTTAATTGCTGCTGCTGCTCTGTGTGTGTGTGTGTGTGTGTGTGTGTGTGTGTGTGTGTGTGTGTGTGTGTGTGTGTGTGTGTGTGTGTGTGTGTGTGTGTGTGGCTGGGCAGATGGATCCCTAACAATGACACAGGAACTGACTCTAGTCATACAAAAGAGAAAGAGAGAGGAAGAAGGAGGGGCAGACAGAGGGAGGAGGACCATGGGAACAGTATTAATCTGCGCTGTCCCCGTCCATCAGCACACTGGTCCCCATTTAACCCCCCAACAATAGAGCCGAGTGGCATCAAGTGGCCTATTTGCATAGCGTATGCATAATCACATATGAAGCATAGTCACATATGAATCAGCCCCTCCCATGACTCCAAATGAAACTTCAAATTCCAATTATGTATGTGTCCAACTGTGAGTTTTCAGATGCATTTCAATATGCGCATAAAACAACAGAATGCAAGTAATAAACAGAAAGTGGCAAAATGTAAGTACAACTTTTCGAGCTTGGCTAAATGCACTAAGAGATGACAGAAAAGTAACATTGGAATAATGCTAATGCTGGGGAACCTGCTTCAGCTTTCTCTTCCTTGTTGCAGAGCTGTCAGTGTGCCTCCACTCTGCCAAAAATACTACAAAATATAAATGGTAGGTGTGCCAGATGGTACTTAAAGTTCACTGTTTAAAATAACATAAATGCCATGGAAGATTTGAATGGTACAGTACGCAGTCATTGACCCAAGTTACAGTGTGTCTCCCATTGCTTCCAGTCTCAATGCTAAGCTAGGCTAGCTATGTCATGACTCCAGCTCTATACTTAGAGGTTCTCTATACAGAATTCAGAGCATATGATTGAATGTGACTTAATTCTCTGCTCAGGTAGACATTTCTGCTAAATTAATGCTCTAAATGTCGTTTACAAAAGAAAAACAACCTAGGTTTAGCATGTTTTTTAGCTAGTGCTGCTAGATTCTCTCATTGAGAAAAGAGTTGGACACTGAACTAGGTTTTATCATTTGGATCATGGCTAAAATCCAGCTTGACTTTTTCTGGTTTCTCCAATGAAATGTACCCAAGCTTTAAGGGAAACAATGAATGTCGGTTTCTGTGTATTTGTTCCTGTGTGTGTGTGTGTGTGTGTGTGTGTGTGTGTGTGTGTGTGTGTGTGTGTGTGTGTGTGTGTGTGTGTGTGTGTGTGTGTGTGTGTGTGTGTGTGGGTGACAGACAAATTGGATAAGAGAAACTGCATGTGCATGAGAGAGAACCCAGGTGAGCTCCTGGGAATCAGGTGTTGAGTTTGCCACTTCTGTCTCCATAGAAACCAAAACGTTCACTGAGGCGCAAACAATGTCTCTTTTTTAGGGGCTTTAAGCCCAGACAAAGGCACTGTCTGGAAGCTCATATCATATGCCACCTACTGAGTTCAATGCAGCAGGGACACACAAATCCATGCACACATGGCATGTCAAACCCAAAGTAACACACCGGTTGACCTCTTCAAATTTCACAATTATTTATCAAAAATGTGTGCTTTATAGCATATATTTGCACTCATGGACCCACCTGTTTGTCTATCAGGGGTTCATGCTTTAGTAGAACAAGCAGTCTGGTAAATTAGATGGGATCTTTGAGTTTCCGAGTCAGTGTGTGTGCAGAGGTTTGCGTCTGTTTTAACTTAAACGTTATCTAAGGTCATGTGCCACCTGCACCCCAGGCAACTGCTTCCACATTAGAACACGGTGTCTTTTTGTCCGACCGGTTTGGTGTTGAAGAACTTGTCTGATCTGCGCACACACTCCTGACCTCAACCTTATCCAATACCTCTGGGATGAATAATGATGCTCTTCAGGCTGAATGGGTGGAAAGCCTGAATTCAGAAGAGGGAAGGCTCTGTGGTAGAATTGGAATCACATGTTAAGCTATTATATATTGGTGTTATGTCCCGGTGTCGACATACTTTTTACAATATTGTGTTTTCAGCATGGTGTGAAAACCATTTCTGAACTATCATCAAGGTCTGACGGCATTAGT